TGGTATCTATTTACTGAATGCAATCTTATCTTTTATGTTTTAGAAAAAAAAATGCATTACTATTGTGTTTGTGTGCACCAAAATTACCTTTAATGTATTATTTATAAAAGATACGGGTTTGATAAACAGTTGCGCTAATGTGATGCAGCATAAAAATCAGCATCTACTACTATTTTATTCACCAGGATCTCTGCTTTCAGAAACAATATAATGTTTTAGAGGATTTAACTAATGGTTAGACCTAAAATGTGCATTTTAACATATTTGCAAAAAATGGAGAGAAAAGGCTTTGGCATTGAAAATGGTAAATAAGGGTTTTTGTAGTGCCAAGGGAACCAAATTTAAATCCCATGGAAACAATCATGGATACACAGGAGTAAATACATAGGATACATAGCAAACACTCTGTACAAAGGTCTAAATAAAGAACGTATTGCTAACGGTCTTTGGAACAAATTTCAAGTACCGAGATCTGATGGTACTCAGGGCAATTTGCTGATTCAGGTCTGATTGCTAAAAGGTTAAGATACATCCTGTGAAATACTTAATGAAATGAAAGATTCTTTTCTTGCATCAAAGGAAGTATGCCTTCCATGTGCAGTAGCAGACCTTGTGAAAAGTGGATTTCCTAGCTTTTAACATTATAAGGATCACCAAGTTAGGAGGGCCCCGTCCTTCAAGACCTTTGCTTCAACAGCCATGCCATTATAGCCAGAGACTGTAAGGCAAGATGGTAACCCATGCCTTAGAACAAAAGATCTGGAACCCACAGAGCAACTGTCTGGAGTCTGATCAGACTGTATTACCATATCCACCTAGGCCAGTCTAGAGCTTTGAGGATTACTGACCATGCTCTCTATCTTGATCTTGCAGAGCAGAAGATGAAGACGTTTGAAGGGAGGAAAAGTATAGACCAGGTTGTAGTGATCCCTCAGAAACCACCAGAGAGTCCCTGCACTTGGAGACAAACGTGTCAAGTTGTTGAACCTGGAGGCCAGGAGACCAAAATCAGGCATCCCTACCTGTGATACTGGTTCTGGAACTCATCAGGTGCAGGGACCAGTTTCCCAGGTCCCAGGACATAAAGGACAGAACTCCTTCTACTTCTTTTGTAGCAACAAGGCTTCTGGTTCCTCCCTGATGGTTAGTGTACACCACTGTCATGGCATTGGTTGATCCTGTCAGGATGTCCATCTTTGAAGGAACACTCAGTGCTCCAGAATGCAGTTTTGTAGGGACATCCAAATCAACCTAAGCTCCAGAATGTTGATTGGAGAATGGCACCTCCAGTGTCCAAGTCCCCTGAACCAACAGGGTGTCTGAAATTTCTCCCTAGCTTGTCAGGATGGAGTCTGTTGTGATGATGTTCCAAGAAATCAGAAGGAAAGGTTTCCTCATCTCCAGAGCAGAATTCCTAAACCACCAGGCCAGAGACTGTACTTGCTGGCCTGGGAAGCACAGCATGGCTAGCACAAGGGCTAGAACCTTGGCATTTGGGATGCTGCCTATCCACGGGGCTTGTGAGGGTTCTGGAACTGTTAATTTAGGTACATGTTACACCCTGGATATGGGTGTAACATGTAACATGTTATGAAAGGTGAACTTATCCTTCAAAGCCTAGAATTAGCCATAGACGGATAGTCAAATGACAAACAAGGTGGATGAAGGAATCCCCCCTGCTGGGAAATTGCATTCTGACAGGAGGACACGTCTCTGTCAAAATACTGTACACTGATCAGCGGTTTCAGCCAAAGATGGCCACACACTGATCCAAATTTGACTGGTCCATGCTGAACCAGCCAAATTTCAATTAGGCTATCACCAGCTTTGTTCTGTCGATCTGTTTTTAAAGTGGTGAAGGCCTAACATGTATGTCACTTTTTAATTTCTGTTTGTGACCCTACTGAGATTTTTTCTCATTTCCTGTTCCATGCAAAAAAAAAGCGGGGAGTTCACTTAGACAGAAATAAAAACATGGTAATATGTTCCAAACCTTCCTCACTCTATTAACTTGTGTTTTTGTTTGTATCCTATTTGAAGAGATGTCACATGATATCCTGTCCTGACAGGAAGTGAGGGGAAAATCTCCCCAACAGGGAACAGAAGACAGAAAAAAAACCAACTGAATTTTAACCTCTCCCCAGCTAGAGTTGGGCTTTAATTAACCATTAACATCATTATACTTAAGAACTGAAATTTGTACAGTAACAAAGCGCTAAATGTACTTTATTGTTCCTTGACGCACACAGGGATATAGTACATAGTGATGGGCCGAACACCCCCCTGTCGAACATTCGAACCTATCAAAAGTTTAACTGTGGTACATGGTACCACTACCCATTTACAAAAAAAAATTTAGTGTAAAAATGACAGTAGACAGTCTTTGACAAGTCTTTTAATAAGAACAAGAATTAAAAAAAATGTCCCCTGAAGTAGATCCAATGTCATTCACGATGCCCACCACTGTGGAACCGAAAAAAGAAAAAAAAACTCTCCTGAGGTCAGGTGCATTGCTTTGGCCAATCACAATGCACTGTCAGGGCGCAGTGCATTGTAGGATGCAGAGGGTGAACAGCCCGCTGAACACCCTTACCGTTCGCGTGTTCAGTGAACACACAAATGGCCAATCTTCGAGTAGAATGCTTTTGAATGTCCAACATGTCTATGATTTATTATATCCCTGTGTCCCCCAATGGATCATAAAGAAAATAAGATTTCTATACTTACTGTATAATATATTCTTTGAAGTTCATTGAAGGACACAAGCCCTACCCATCTGCACCTTGGCCCTACGTACTGTTTGCTTACAAACCTGAGGCATGACGATTGGGGGCACGTTTTTTGTAGTCTGGCTTTCAGCTTTTTTTTTTCTATTTGCCAGTGTCCACCTTCTGAATACATCAACATAACCCATACATCTATGTTTTACTTTATCCCTGTATCCCTTATTAGACTCCAAAAAATATTTTATGCTTAGTACAAAAATGTTACTTTTAAATGTTTACTTTTAAATAGAATTGTGATTATTTTTTTAAAACAGCCATAGACAGATTTAATTAATTTCTTGTTATTCTGAGGAATACTGAGAACAGACCACATTCTACATGTTTTTTTATATAATGTTTTTGTATAAAATTTAAAACATTCAGTATATAATAGTAAAGCTTAGTAACTGTCAGGTCATTGCTGCAATTTTTTTCCTGAAGAATTTCCACGCTGTTTACAGCTACTGCCTGTGGAAAAGAAGCAGTTAAAACATGTCACAAAAGAGAAAAGTCTCAGGTCAAGCTGACATGAGCCTTAGAGCCATCACCTTGTTCAAACAGCCACAGGTAGATAAAAATAACAGGTAAACAGTGCAAACTTTCCTGGGTCAGCTTGACTAAACCAGAACCTTGCCAACATTACTGAAACTTATTAGGACTTAAAAAATATCCACTGTTAACCCCTGTATAATTGTTCCACAATGTTATTAAAGCAATGTTTGCCCTTACATTATTAAAGACTGGCCACTTTCCACATTACATATTGAACCAGATAGACTTGTGTCTTTTTTCAACCTATGTAACTATATATTTAAAAATGGAAATTTTAAAGTGTTTTTTTTTCACAAACAATAACATTACACAGATACAAGATATACAGGCTCCATTCCAGAGGCATAACAAGAAACTTCAGGGCTACGGTACAGGAAACCATGAATGGCGCCCCTGATCCAAGCCTCTTCCCATTGATCCCAGGGCTGTTTACTCCCCTTGTGGGGCCCTTTATTACGGTCCTGCAGTGGGACCCATTAACATGTTCTGCAGTTGTTCCCCTTCCTGCTCTTACATAAGAGTCCCCCCTTGCATCAGAGTTCTCAGCATTCCCAGAGCCGTCTTTACATCAGAGTTTCCTTTTACAGTACATCAGTGTCCCTCTTGACAGTGCAAGGGGGAACTCTGCAGACCTTGATGTAAAGGGGGATCCTTATGTAAAGGGGAACACTGTGGACCATGATGTAAGGGGGAACTCTGCAGACTCTGGTGTAAAGGGAACTGTGATGTAAGAGGTTCTCTGGTCACAGGAGCCCCCCTTACATTTGAGTTTGCAGAGTTCCTCCTTACCTTACAGTCCACAAAGTTTCCCCTTGCACTGTAAGAGTGAACTGTGCTGACTCTGATGTAATACGGGATTCTGGAAACTTTGATGTGGGGGGGAGCTCTGGTGACCAGAGAACCTCTTACATCAGAGTTCCCCTTTACACCAGAGTCTGCAGAATATCTATCTGTACGAGGGTGCATGTCCCTACACACTAAAGACCAATCGTTTAACCAGTTGCCGCCCGGCCTATAGCCAGATGGCGGCTCCGAGTGGACGCCATATGGTGTCCTTTCAGTAATGCCCAGTCCGCCTGCCCGCAGGGCCACTCTGTGGCGCAATCTGTCACCGGCCGTGTACCTCAGACATGTCCGTTGACAGATCTGTCATCCGTTGCCAGTACTATGTGACCTGCTGTGACCAATCACAGCAGGTCACATGACAGTTGTATACAATGGGTGGCTTCCTTTTATGCCATCTATTGTATACAAGTGTGTCTAGCTGTGAATGATCACAGCGATCACATGCACAAGCTGGGCCAATCACAGCCCATCTGTGTCATGTGATTAGCCGTGGCCACATCACAGCTTAGCACAAAAAAAACAAAAACCTGTGTGAATAGATGTCATTCAGGTACTGTAAATGATTGCTTATAGCAAAGTAATTCTTTGCTATAAACAAATTGTGTAAAAAAAAATACTGATCACTTCCCCAAAGTAGTACAATGTTACTGTGGTAACATTATACTACTTTGGCCATAGTGAAATATGAAAAAAAATCTTTAAAAAAAAGAGAAAAAAACTAATAAAAAATTAAAACTAATAAAAAATAAAAAAATTATAATTTTTTTTTTTCGTACTGTCACCAGTCAGTGTCCCTGATCACCGCCATGCCAGTTATATGATGATGCTGTACTGCACTGGTGACAGTATGTAAAAAAAAAAAATAGTGAAAATATATATTTTTTATTTTTTTTTTCCGAAAAAAATATGACAAAAAAGTACAAATTCAAAAAACTTACCATGCCTGCTTTGAAATACGTTGGACTGTCTACTTTGCAAAAAGTGGTCATTTGGGGGATATCTGTACTGTCCTGACATTCTTGGACCTCAAGAAATTAGATTGGCCGTCAGTACTTCAGGACTGATAAATTTTCAGATATATCCCATAGTTTGTGAACTCTATAACTTTCCTACAAACTAAATAATTGGTACATCATAATTTCGGTTATTTTCACCAAAGAAATGTAGTAGAATACATCTTGGCCTAAATTTATGAACAACAATTATTTATTTGCAAACTTTTATAACAGAAACAAAGAGAAAAACGTGGGTTTTTTTTTCTAAATTTTCAGTCTTTTTTTGTTAATTTAGCAAAAAATAAAAACCCCAGTGTTGATTAAATACCACCAAAAGAAATCTCTAGCTGTGTGAAGAAAATGATAAAATTTTAGTTTGGGTACAATGTTGTATAACCGTACAATTGTCATTCAAAGTGTGAGAGCACTGAAACCTGAAAATTGGCCTGGTCAGGAAGGGGGTAAAAGTGCCCTGTATGGAAGCGATTAAAATACCTAGTGCTGGATTGAGGGGGAGGGTGGGAGCTGCTCAGTCATTGGTTGCTAACCCCATTAATGTCCTCAGCTCCCCCCTCCATTGATGACCTCGGCCCCCTCGGTAATGGTCTCAGCTCCCCCATTAATGTCCTCAGTCCCCTCCCTCCATTAACATCCTAAGCTTCCCCATTACTGTCCTCAGCCCCCTCCATTAATGTCCTCAGCCCCGCTCCATTAATTATCTCAGCCCCCCCCCCATCTATTAATGTCCTCAGCTCCTCCTTCTATTAATGACTTCACCCCCCATTAATGTGCTCAGCCCCCTCCATTAATGTCCTCAACTCCCCCCTCCATTAATGACCTCAGCTCCCTCAGTAATGGTCTCAGCTCCCCCATTAACGTCCTCAGCCCCCTCCCTCCATTAACATCCTAAGCTTCCCCATTAATGTCCTCACCCCCCCCCATTAATGTCCTCAGCCCCCCTCCATGAATGTCCTCAGCCCCTTCCATTAATGACCTCAGCTCCCCCCCATTAATATCCTCAAGCCCCCTCCATTAATGACCTCAGCCCCCCGCCATTAATGTCCCCTCTATTAACATCCTCAGCCTCCCCAATAAATGTCCTCAGCTCCCCCTCCATTAATGACCTCGACCCCCCCTCCATTAATGTCCTCAGCCTCTCATTAATGTCCTCAGCTTCCCTCTCCATTAATATCCTCAGCCCCTCATTAATGTCCTCAGCTCCCCTCCTTTAATGAACTTAGCCCCCCATTAATATCTTCAGCCCCCCCATTGATGACCTTATTCCCCCTCCATTAATATCTTCAGCCCTTCCATTAATGACCTCAGCCCCCTCCTGTGATTGTCCTCAGCCCCCCCATTAATGTCTTCAGCCCCCCATTTCCAATGAATATCCTCAACTCCCCTCCATTAATATCCTCAGCTGCCCATCCAATGAATGTCCTCAGTCCCCCTCCAATAAAGCCCCAGCTACCCTACCCTGTATCCCCCCACCCATTGCCCCCTCCCCTCTGTCTTAGCTTACACAGTGTGGAGGGCGGGAGGCACAGCAAGTCTGAACAGAGGGCTTGGTGGTACAAGCTGCAAGCTGGTGATTGGTTTCTAGGACCACCCTACAACCTAACAACCAATCACCTGCTTGTTAACATGGACAGCCCCCACCCTCCATTCAGAGCCATCCTGCCTCCCACAGACAGCTCAGAAAGAATGACAGTGGCAGCTCCTAAGTGGCTGGACCTGGGCTGGTCAGTGATGCCTGGCATAAACCCTAATGTGACAGGAAGACCACCGAGGCCCCCTGGAACAGGGGCGGGGTGGCAAGTGTGACCCCTATGACCCCTGATGCTACACCAGTGTTCCGTTCACAAATGGGCGTTTGCAATCTCAAGAAGAATAACCATTGGAATAATGGACATAGGTGAAAAAACTCCTAGGTTATTCTGATTACAATATTGGGCAAACAGTTCTACCACATGAGCCGGGCCATCCCATATGACAAATAAATGTCATCTATATAACATCCAAAGTATATAATATGGGCAGCACAGGGGTTATTCTTTATAAGAATAAAGGCATTCCCAATACCCCATTGTCAGGTTGGCATAACTGGGGCACATTTAGCCCCCATGGCTTTGCCATTGGTTCGTAGATAGTGCTGTCAAATTCAAAATAATTGTGCTTAAGACAGAATTAAGTTGCTTCAGTTATAAATTGGGCCTGTTTGGGACTGATGAGGGGATCCTCAACCAGGAAATGCTTTATAGCCTGAAGGCCCACCTCTTGGGGGGTGGAGGTGTATCGTGAATTTACATCAAGGGATACCCACAAATACGTAGGTTTCCAGGTGTAGAATTTGAGCATTTCTAGTAGATCTATCCCATCCAGGATATAGAACGATAATCCCTGGGAGAGTGACTGTAAAAATTGGTCAATATAAACCAATAAACCACCGGTGACACTTATCATTGCATGCTACAATAGGACGGCTTGGTGGATTACGTGAATCCTTGTGGAGTTTCGGAAAGTGGTAAAAATACGGTGTATTTTAAAAGTCTCTCTTAAGGAAAGATGCTGCAGCATGATTAATAATGTTCTGTTCCTGTGCTTTAGAAAATAATAGGGTAGCTACCATAGAGAGCTCAGCTAAGGAATTGTGTGATAGTTTTTGATATGTATATGGCCTTTCTCTCTCCAGTGACGTCACTTCCTCCTGTATGTTCCACATGGGTTAAAGAGGATTTCCTGCTTCAACAGGGTATCCATGCCCCAACACTACCAACTACAGCCTTGGGATTGCAGTGGCGGTTGTCCAGGATGGTGATGAGCGGCCGATGCTTTATATGATGAGCAAATATACTGTATATCTTACATCTTGCGAGTGTTTTTAATCCTTTGACAATAAATGGTGTCCTTTAATATTAGACTTGGTAGCACTTCCCCTTTCTCTTTTTTATCCTTACACGCAGAGGTGGCCAACTCTGAGGATAGCTGCCACCAGTGTTCCCACTATTTACTATGGACTTTTAATAGACGTTATGTTTTAGTTGACAGGCTGAGCGCCAGAAGTTTTCCCTTACTCACCTAAAAGAAGGTATACTACTTCCATCTTTAACCAATGGTGTCACAGAAAGGGGATATTTTATTCCCATAACCTTCTACAGAGTTTAAAGTGATATTATAGGTTAATCCTCTGCATTGTGTAAAAAGGCCGTTTGATCCTGACTTATCTGGTCCTCCTCTTGTTCAAATGTCCACGTCTTATCTCCTGATAAGACAGACTGAACCATAGCCATTCTACACATGCTCAGTTTTGTGTGTATTGCTAGAGAGGTTTTTTTTCTTAAGGGACAAGGGCAGAAGAACTTCTGAGATACATGGTTACCTGAAACAGTACAAATGAGAGGTGGGCAACACAGCAAACACTAGGCTAACATGCCCTCAAAAAGCTGCCTGAAGAACCTTACACACAAAGCATGCATCAGCAGAGGCCTGAACATCCACCTGGTAAAACTTTGAGAATGTGCAAAATAGGGACTAGAAGAGTGCCTTGCAATCTGGGAAAACAGATACATGATGCTGAAAAGCCCAAAAGGCTCTTCTTAATCTAATACAGTGGTCTCCAAACTGCGGCCCATGGGCCCAATGTGGGCCTTTTGTTTGCCTCTATCTGGCCCTCGGGGAACTATTCCTCCCACTGATACCAACAAGGAGACACCATTTCTTCCATTGGCACCAACTATGAGGCATTTGTCCTTCTACTGACACCAATGATGGGGCACAGTTTCCTCCCACTGATGTAAACAATTAGGCACTATTCCTCCAACTAATACCAAGGATGGGGCACTATTCCGTCCTCTGATACCAATGATGGGACACTCTTCATCCCACTAACAACAATGATGGGGCACTATTCCTCCTACTGACACCAATGATGGGGCACTATTCACCCCATTGACACCTATTAAGGAGCACTATTCCTCCCACTGTCACCAATAATGATGGGGCACTATTCATCCAACTGACAACAATGATGGGACACTATTCCTCCTACTAGTACCAATGATGGGGCACTACTCCTCCAACTAATGTCCGATGACTGGACACTATTCCTCCTTCCACTGACTACAACACTATATAATTTTTTTTTACTCCTAATTACGCTGGGAAATTTTCTATTCCCATTGGCAAACTGGCCCTCCTAAAGTCTGAAGGACAGTAAACCGGGCCTTTGTTTAGAAAGTTTGGAGACCCCTGATCTAATAGAATGTGCCTAATAAAGTAGAACCTTATCATTAAGCCTTTAGGCTTGAATAATAAATCATGACCCTGCAAAAGTACTCTTTCCAAGAGCAATAATAGACCTTATAAGAAATGGATTTCCTAGCTTTAAGGATCATAGGAATAACATATTCGGATAGCCATGTCATTATAACCAGTGCCCTTGAAGTAGCATGGTAAATTGGTCCTTAGGTCAAGAAATCCAGATGGTCTGGGATATCCCCAGAGAGCCAGCCAGGAGTCTCATGAGGTTGGATTACTACGTTGCCTGGACTAATTCAGTGTGATAAGCATCACCGGAATGCCTTCCATCTTGTCAGGGCAGGAACGCTGGAATGGGCAGGCAGGCCTATGGTACGGTCACGCTGCGACTGACGACAGCCACTACCCACAGACCAGAGTCCCTCAGGGCGCGGAGTCTAAGCCCCAGGCTACCCTTCACCAGGGCCCCTGATGGTGGGGATGGACTTGACGCAGCCTGAGACCAGGTCGCGGCCCCCGAGTGACCCCAGCTGCGATAACGACTGCCGCCAATGGCGTACAGCTGGTGGGAGCTAGATGGGAACACGAGTAGAGTAGTCAGACAAGCCGGGTCAATAACAACGGAGCAGACAGTACTAGACGGTAGGCAAAGAATACTCAGGTCACGGGCCGGGTTCAGCAACGGGAGGTCAGTTAAAGGGTTAACGCAGAGAGTAGTCTTGTCCAAGCCGAGTCGGTTACCAGGAGAGCAATGGGAACAACACAAGAGCTTGCAACAGGGCAACATACAGGACACAAGTGCAGCGCACACTTGCAGACAGGAGGTTAAAATGTGCTCAACCACACCCTTCTGAGGAGGAGCCGCAGAAGCCTGAAGGCATAAAGGTTCCCACCATGCTTTGCAGAAAACCAAGA